TATATATATATATGTATATGTATATATGTATATACTATACACACACATACACACACAGAGACATGTGTTTGTGTATGTATGTGTCCAGTATACAGGTATACATGTAGATGCATGCATGTAGGGAAGCAGTTTGCTCCTTCCCATGTTTGGGCATCGCAGGGGCTTTGACAAACGAAAAAAAAACACAAATGTTGTGTTTATGTACAGTATATCACAGAAGTGAGCCCAGCCCCTCACATTTTGCCAATATTGAAGTGCATGTTTTAAAGTGTGTGTTTGTGTGTGTGTGTGAGTGAGTGACACACTGTACAGACACACGTCAGAGATGTCAGAATTTACTCCCTTGCATGGGGAGACGGGTGGCCTTCAAAACAATTTTGTGCAGCCATGCTGGGGTGGGGGGGGCGACCCACCCCTGGCCCGGAGGTGGAGCTGTGGCCTCACGATCAGGAGGCTTGTGAGTTCGATCCTAGGAATAGGCAGATGTTTCTCCCTCTGGGCAGGTTGAGAATATACCGTATCTGCTGAACAAAACTCCGCCCTGGCGACGGGAAAGGCATCCGGCCCTTAAATGCTCTGCTAGCTGCATTCAGTTGCCCAAGACCCCCCTCCCTCCCCCGCGATGGAGGATGGGGGCGCTAAACAAAGATGATAATGATTGTTGTCATTATTTCATTACTCTGCTGGTTTTTCTTGGTGGAGGGGGGGTGTTCAAACTTTGGCATCTCAACCTTCCCGGGCCATTCCCCACGTCCACGTCCCCCCCCTGTGAGGTCGGCTAGGCTGCCCCTTCTTGCAGCTGGGGAGGGTCCCCTCCGGGTCTCCTGCCTCCTCTCTTCCTCGGGACCCTCACCGGCCCTCCCCTCTCTCCCCCCCCCTCCAGGTCTTCGTCCTGCTCTTCATCTTCGTCAAGAGGCAGATCATGCGCTTCGCCATGAAGTCTCGCCGGGGCCCCCACGTGCCGGTGGGTCAACACGCCCCCAAGGTTGGTGGACCAGCTGTTGTCTTTTCCCATCCGGATTTTGGGGGGGGGGGGACTTTGGTAATTCACCTAGCGCACGCACACCCCTTGATTTCGTACTTAAAAAATGAATCTTAAAAGCAGTGAAAAAACTTGGGGCCCCATTCCAGACAATGGCAATATTCTCTCAGATGCGGAGAGCGGGGGGCTCAAAAGGGACCCCCGAGAGGGAAGGCTCCTTGCGCTTCTCTGCGATTTGGGGGGGGGGGGTTTCTTTCAGACGTTTTGTGACCCAACTAGGTAACATCATCAGTGCTGGAAGGGTGTGGGAAGCTAATCTTTGTCTCCTCCCTCCCCCCCATCTCTCCATTCCCCCTCTTTCTCTCTCTCTTTCTCCCTTCTCTCTCTCTCTCTCTCCCTTCTCTCTTTCTCTCTCTCTCTCTATCTCCCTTCCCTCTTTCTCCCTTCTCTCTTTCTCTCTCTCTCTCCCTTCCTTCTCTTTCTCCCTTCTCTCTTTCTCCCTTCCCTCTCTTTCTCCCTTTTCTCTTTCTCTCTTTCTCCCTTCTCTTTCCCCTTTTTCTCTTTTTCCCTTCCCTCTTTCTCCCTTCTCTCTTTCTCCCTTCTCTCTTTCTCCCTTCCCTCTCTTTCTCCCTTTTCTCTCTCTCTCTTTCTCCCTTCTCTTTCCCCTTTTTCTCCCTTCTCTCTTTCTCCCTTCTCTCTTTCTCTCTCTTTCTCCCTTCCCTTTCCCCTTTTTCTCTTTCTCCTTCTCTCTTTCTCCCTTCTCTCTTTCTCTCTCTTTCTCCCTTCTCTTTCCCCTTTTTCTCTTTCTCCCTTCTCTCTTTCTCTCTCTTTCTCCCTTCTCTTTCCCCTTTTTCTCTTTCTCCCTTCTCTCTTTCTCTCTCTTTCTCCCTTCTCTTTCCCCTTTTTCTCTTTTTCCCTTCCCTCTTTCTCCCTT